TGAACAAATAACTATTAAGTACTATTGAGGGCATGAAAGCTCTTTCATACTCCACATGAAACTTCCTTAGAGTAACATTCATGGCTTACCTATACTCTCTAACTCCTTCCTCGGGTAGGAAGGAGTAACTGATCTGATAGCAAGTTGGGAGAAGAAATTCTGAGGTTCAGCCACTTCTTTTCTCCTTTCTATCTGGCATTTGGCTGACTGAAAAGAGCCATTTGTTCTGGCCTGCTCTCTGCCATTCAGTAAATGTAGTGGGACAGAGAGGCTTCATTCTTGTAGGTAGAGAAATTTGAGGTTTAAAAATGCCTAATTCTGGAGTACAATATTAGAAAACTCACTGTTGCTGAAAATCTCAGCCACATTTTCCAAACAACTTTTTCAGTAAACTGACATTTCAAACTTCATCTATCTGACTTAACTGGATTCAAACTCAGGCAAAGAAAAAAGGAGGAAGGGACATTACTTACTAACCTCTAAACTAAGTATTTTGTGCCTATATTAGTCCATTTCTGTTGCTTATAACAGAATACTTGAAACCAGGTAATTTATAAAGGAATAAAATCTATTTCTTACAGTTTTGGAGGCTGGGTAGTCCAAAGTCCAGGGAGCACATCTGGTGAGGGCCTCTTTGGGGGTGACAACTCTCCACTGAGACACAGGGTATCACATAGTGAGAATGGCTGAGAAAGAGAGAGCTAAGCTTCTCGCCTGATGCCCATTGCTTCATGGGTGGCTCAATCCATTTACAAGGACCCAGTCCTCACAATCTAATCACCTCTTTAAGGCCTTTCAATTACCATAAGATTTCCCATCCCCTTAACACTATTACAATGGAGATTAGGTTTCAATGAGTTTTTGAGGGGATATTCAATCCATGGCAGTGCCCTTGTGGAGTTTACAGTATATTGGGGGTTTAAACTAAAACACTTGAAGGGTTATATAATAATATAAGAATTGGGCTGAGCCCATGGCGCACTCGGGAGAGTGCGGCGCTGGGAACGCAGCAGCGCTCCCGCCACGGGTTAGGATCCTATATAGGGATGGCCTGAGCGCTCACTGGCTGAGCGTGGTGTGGCCAGTCTCAAAAAGGACAAAAAATAAATAAATAAAAAAAAATAATAATATAAGAATTACCTAACAAATATAAAGTATAATAAACACATGATTATTAACAAATAGGTAAAAAAAAAAACTATGATCATTGGTGAGCATGTGAAAATCTGAGAGAGAAAAAATAGACGTCCAGGCCCCCTGCCAAACTCAGAAAATCATGAATGAGACCCAAGCAACTGCAGTCTTAACAAGTTTCCATATAATGTTGATACATACCCCACTTCAGAACCCATGTCATATACGGTGAGTGCAACAATTTTGGAAAAGAAGAGACAGCCATGAACTAGCAAAGGAAAGGTTATAGGAACAGAACTTAAAACAAATTTTAAAAGACTTGCAGGTGGTTTAGATGACAGGGAAGAGGATGAGGGAAAACCAACTTTGCTATGAGGGCTTTTTTACCTGCCAGACACTGTTCCATATACTACCTCATTTTAGATAATTTCATTTCCTACATGGAAAAACTGAGGCTCAGAAAGGTTAAATAATTTGCCTGAAGTCACAAAACTAGTTAAGTGACAAAAGTGGGATCTGTAGATATTTTCATCTTGTAGATGAAATTGAGCCCCAGGGAGGTTAAATATTTTCTTTAAAGTAACAAAATTGGAAAGTGGTACAACTGGGATTAGAAAGTGGCCAAGTTGAAATCAGATCTGTTTATACACACACACACACACACACATATATGTATATATATACACACATATATATGTGTGTGTGTATATATGTATATATATTTTTTAAACAAATGGAGAAGTTCTCTACTGCTTAGGAAAACACAGAGGTAGGAGGAAAGCAAAAGAAACCAAATTAGACCATCAAAAACCAGTCCACATTTTAATTTGTGATGTGCTCAGAGAATCATATATTAAAGACTTAAAAATCACTTTTTAAAAAATTAGTCTGTTTTCATCATTCAACCATGACTCAGCTACTAGTTGGGAGCTGCCAACCTAGTCAGAACGGTCAAACTGATTTTATGGTTAGCCTTAATTTCAGAAGTGTAATGTTTAAGGCTGGAGTAATTTCATTTATAACTGAGATTTTTAAAGATTGCTTTATGATAATGCTTTATAAGAATCCCTTGTGGTCAATATTACTATTGACCACAAAGTAATTGATATTACTCTTTTCAGAATATTTTAAAACAGTGAAGCTAAACATTCATTCTATTCTCCATCTATAGGGACTTCAGTTCTACTTTTCTATCAAGAATGCAGTAAAAATTCATGAGGCCCTTCATATAGTCACTTTTTTCGCCATTGTTCCCATAGAACATTGCTTATTCCATTCCATCTAGCATTTATTTCACTCAGTCTTGTATAAAACTACTTGTTTACAAATGTTTCTACTTTTCTTTAGGGATAAGAACCATGCAGCATTCACTTTTATATTCTCCTCACATTTAGCACAGATCCTTGCACATTCAATTAGGTTTGTTGATGAATACTAGTGTTCTCAATAAGAAGATAAGCATATCAATTATGTATACATCTGAACTTACAAATATGAGAACATGAAGGAAACAGGCTGTTGAAAACATTTCATTTCACAATAGCCAAGAGATGGAGTCAACCTAAATGCCCATCAACAGATGAATGGATAAAAAAAATGTGGTGTATATATACAATGGAATACTACTCAGCTATTAAAAGAAATGATATCCTATCATTTGCAGCAACATGGATGGAACTGGAAATCATCATGTTGAGCAAAGAAAGACAAATACCACATGATCTCACTCAAATGTAGAATCTTAAAAAAAGAATAAATAAAAAAGTGAGGTAGAGAGTAGAATAATGCTTACCAGAAGCTGGGAGTGGGGGAGAGTAGGAGGGAGGAAGAGAAGTGGTGGACTAACAGGTACAAAAGTATGCTATCTACCCTAAATAAATCATTGTGCAGTATATGCACATATTCAAACACCACACTATAACCCACAAATATGTACAAGTAAATGTTAAAAAAAAAAAGAAAGAAATGTTTGGGCAGCCACTTGGAAACTGGGAGCCACCAAAATCATCATTCCTCAATAAACCAGGAACTATATATACAATGGTAAACAAAACAGATGTAGTCCTTGCCCTCACAGAGCTCAGAACCTAGCATGGAGACAGGAAATAAGTAAACAAACTAACATACACATGCTATGAGGGGGAAAAAGTGCAGGTGGTAATAAAGAATTAGAGTCGGCGTACAGCAGAGAGGGTGCCTCAGATAGGGTGGACCACCTGATATGAGACGTTTAAGCCAAGACTCAAGGATGAGCAAAGCCAGTTAAGTTACCAGGAAAGGAATATAGAATTGCCAGCAGGAAGTTAGGTCCCTAAAAGGGGTGGTGGTCATGAGCTGCGATGCCAGCTTCAGGCAAATACACCTACCAAAGCACATCCCCTAACCTATTTTCAATTATTTTGCTCGTTTATTTCACCATTTTTCCTTTTCTGGTGATAAGTGTTTTAAATTTCCTCATGAAATTAAATGACGGCATGAACTCTGGAGAATGTAAGACTACCCATTTCCAAATAATCCTAAACTCCTTCCAGTCCCTGACTGATAAATTTACCTTGAAGTGACAACTATGTCCCAATCAGGAAACAGGGTTTCTCTGTATGAGCTTAATTTTTTTGATGTGGAAGCCTCCTGATTACTAATCAGCATGTGGTATGATTACTTCAACAAGTACTTACAGAATATTATTTTATCACTGGAAAAACCCACTGGTGCTTTCTCAACTCTAGGTTGCTCTAATAAATCTAAAGCAGTCTCTAACCACTTGGAATTCTCAAATCTAATGCTGGAGCTACACCTTCAGTTATGAAAGTGGGTTATACTGTGGAAAAAGCCCTGGGTTAGAAATTATAGTATATTAGGCCATTTCTGTTGCTTCTAACAGAACACCTGAAACTGGGTAATTTATAAAGAAAATGAAATTTATTCCTTACAGTTTCAAAAGCTGGGAAGTCCAAAGTCCAAATAACACATCAGGGAGGGCTTTTTCTTCGTAGGAACTCTGCAGAGTCCCTTGCTGACGAGGACATCACATGGCGAGAATGAGCTGAGCAAGAGTTAACCTTCTCACTTCTCTCCTTATAAAGCCATCAGAACCATGCCCATGACCACCCATTAAACCATTAATGGATTAATCCATTCAGAAGGGTACAGTCCTCACAGTCTACTCACCTCTTGAAGGCCCCACCTTTCAATTACCATAATAGGATTTCTCACCCTCTTAACACTGTTACAATGGAGATAAAGTTTCCAAAACATGAACTTTTGGCAGTCACATTTAACCCATAGCATAGAGGATGTAGGCTTTAGTACTAGGTCTGCCACTTTATTATGCAAAGTTGGGCAAACTGCTTACTTCTTTTAGGCTTCGTTTTCTTATTTCTAAAGTAGACAAACATAGAAGTGGCACTATACACAAATTCAACTATACATACTTTGAAAAAATTTAAAAGAAAAATAACAATTTAAATAGTACTAAATGAGTATATGCCCTGGGATAAGCATGAGTTGGAAAGCACAAATCAGTCTTACATCAGTTTCAGTTCTCATATGTCTGTCATTGTAAATCTTGCTCTGTAAATCTTGCATAATTTTAATGTTTAAAGATTTACATGTTTATTTGTTAGGACAAGGTCCCTAAACATAATCCACCTGCTTCCTCTAGGGCTGAAATGAAGAAACAGCCATTCAGGTGACATGGTTTATCTCATATGCTTACTTTAGAACCAAATAGCATATTGATTCCACTATACCAACATATTATTCTGGCATAGGAAACTCATTCCTCAAAGTAGATGGAACCCAGCTGTGCCACTGTCTAGGGTACAGATATATTCTCGTATGTGGAAAATGATGAATGTACAAAGTTATTCTTTACACAATGCTTTTAATAAAGATCTGAATAAAAACTTCAGTGTCCGAAAGGAGAGGACTGATGAAATAATGATACAACATACAATGGAATATCATGCAGCCATAAAAAAGAATGAGGAAACACCTTATACAAGAATATAGAACGTCTAACATAAGTGAACAAATAAGATACATAAACAATATACACATTATGTACTATTATATAAAAAAAGAAAATAAAAAATAAAATATATATAGTACTTATGTGCTTGTATACGGTAACATTTTTTTACAAAATACACAAAAAAACTGTTAGCATTTGTTGCTTCCCAGGCAGGGTACTAGGTAGCTGAGGGACAGGTGTGGAAAGAAGACTTTTCACTGTGTATCCTTTTGTACCTTTCGAATTTTGAATCATGTGAATGTATAAACCTAATCCAAAACAAAAATGACAAATTTAGATCAACAGATGGCAGTTTGAGATGAAACAGGATCATATCCTTAGTGGGAAATATTTTTAAAAAGTAGGCGGTAGTTCCAAGAGTAAATATGTGCAGGTAGAACACTGGAAATATAAAGGAACTTCTTTAATAAATCCATCTATTTCAGACTTCTCATTTTATAGACCTGCAGACTAAGGCTTTGAAAATTAAACGAGTTGTGTAAAGTCACACAGCAGAAGAGATGGGATTAGAAATCAGATACTCCAATATCTACTGTAGGACTCTTCTTTATACTATCTTCTCATTTTGTGTGGGCAAAACAGAGCCAATAAGTTAAGGCTACATTATGACTTGTCATGTTCTACCTAAATTTTAGTCTAAGGTATAAAATAACGTTAAACCCTGGGACTACTAATTTCTTGTTTGGATCACTATGTGGCTACACTTGATAGGCTGTGCATATATCTCTATCATTGCATTTACACAGGATGATAAGTGTATTTTTTTCTATCCTAACTCAACTGAATTCACTGAGGGCAAGAACCAAAATGTCCTAAATCACTTTAATCTTTTAAATATACAAACACCCAATATAAGTGTACTTCTGAAAATATTAATATAGGTTCATAGATCCTTAACTATAAAACTGAAAGGTTGGGTGTTTTATTTATTTTTCTGGTGACTACCCAATACATGGGTTGGGTGTTTTAAAAATGAGGATTTCTTGGAATTTAAAAATGTTACAAGGTACGCAAACCATTATATAACACCCTACATACCAGTGGCCAAAGGCACCACCCCATAATCAACCATATTGTTTCAGCAAAACATGAAATAAAGACTTTATATAACTTCTCATTAGTTCAGGTCATATTATGCTACCAAATGAATTTTGTCTCCTAACTTGTTGGTTTTCAGAGCTTTCCTAATGTTAGATTTAGATGAGGAATCATAGACTGTACTCACAAGGGTGTTGCTAGAAAGTATGGTTACTCACTTCAACTCTAATCTTTTTGATGAGACCAGAACAAGCAATCATAGCAGGCATCTTTTATATCCCAGGTTTGGGCCGAAGACTTGTTTAATGGTTAAGGAATCCAACCTACCGGAGGGTGCAAGAGCTCACATCATGAGAAAATAAGAAAAAAATAAAAATCATAATTGTACAGCACTGTACTCCTGTTGTAACTCATTAGTTATTAGTTTAATAAAAGCTTCCTTTGGTTAAATCATGTGAGTTTATAAATGGAAATAGGTAAATAAAATTTGTCACACACTGCTAAGAGGATGGAGGTAACGAGCTTTAATTACACTGAAAGGTAACTGCACTCTTTTAGGGACCAGCATTCCTATAAAGAAGCATTCCAAATACATTAATAAGGAATAAGCAGAAATGTAAACAATTTTCTCAACTTGGGACTATAATATAAATGAAAGGGGAATTTTCTAGTTAACTTCTTCTGATCTCCTGTATCAGAATCCTTCCCTTATCTTTTAGGACTTTCCCTACCTTTTACAATGGGAAAAGCTCTGGAATCAAAAAACACACCACACACTGAAATCTTTTCCTTTTTCTCCACAACCCAAGCCTTACCTCCTTTCGTTTCTGTCACTATTACATTTTTTGTTGTTGTGAAAAAAAAATCGAATTTGCACTAAAAGACTATAAATCAACTTTGTGGATGACAATGTCTAAATTCAGTTTGGTGATGTTTTGCAATCTTTTTAGCTACATTTTAACTAAACCAATTGTTTTGTTGAATGTATGAATTAACATTCAGGAAGTGTTTATTACAAAAAAACCAGTGTACTCCATTCTAAAAATGGAAATAGCAATAGTGAGCAACAAAAAACCTTCTGAGTTTTTGACTACTATCTCAGGAAGAAATATTACTTTCTCAAATTTTCATCATAATTCTTAAAAACAAAAACAAAAACCCCAAACCAAAAAACTACTAGTTGGGTCTTACAACAAATAATAATAATCTAATAATCCACTAATAATCTAATACGACAAAAAAGGTAAACAAAACCTAACCAGCCTATTTTTTGTCTGGAGAAAAAAAAAAAAAGAACTCCCCATTGTTCTTGGCCATTTACATTCATAAGTACCAAAAATTAAAGTCCTTTTCACTGAAGAACTTCTTCATACGTGGGACTTGTTTCCTCCATAACATCCTATCAAAATTATCAGCATTATTCCAGAAAATAATCATTTAGTCTGAGACCACTAAAAAAAAAAACTAAAAACACCGTCCAAAATGCCAGTCGTGGTCACTCTGTACAGAACTGGTCAGAAACTACAATTTGTTATTCTAGGACACAGAACCAATCGACCGAAAGGACTTCTGGAATATGGTGCCCTTAAGACTTAGAATGCAGACTCAGAAATAGCATACGCGGTCACGATGTCCCTTAAACCACATGACCTTCCCATGAAAGCGGAGCCTTAAATTTATAAAGTGAATGAGAACTCCCCCTTTCTCTGAAGTTATAACAAGGTAGGGCAGCTGAAATTAGTGCAGCAGGGACAGACTGGCTGCTGACTAGTCATAACGGGTCACGGGCAGTAAAGTCCCTGTGCTTTCGCTACTCCCCTTACCGTGAGAAGATCTGGGAGGGAGGAAAGGAGGAGAAGCACCCCAGAATCCTGGTGGAAAAGCCCCTGGCCTCGAAGGTGAGGTTTAGGGAGGCAGGGAGGGGCAGCTCCGTGTGTGGTGACCCTTTGTGAACACGCACTCTGTGGCAGCTCGGCTCTCACCCAGGCTTTGGGAGAGCGAACTATGGGTGCCTGTCGCGACCCAGTTGTGGAGGCCGCGGCGCCGCAGGGACGCACCAGCGGACAGCCTCAATGGCATCCCCTGCCTCTACGAGAGCCTTTCCCTGCCCCACCCCCCGAGTCACTCAGGGGCCCTCGACGACGGCTCTTGCGGGCGAGGGTACAACGAGAAACACGCTGCTTTCTTTCCTGGGCGTAATCCCTCCGCAGCCAGCCGAGGGTACAACGAGAAACACGCTGCTTTCTTTCCTGGGCGTAATCCCTCCGCAGCCAGCCGCGCACTAGTTTAGTCACGCCCCACCCCCTGGCCGCTGGCGTCACCTCCGCTACTCGACCGCTTTCCAGTAGCTTCCAGAAACGTTGCCTCCCAAACCCAGCCACTCACACAGGGAGGGATCTACAGCCACCAACCCCGCCCCTACCCGTCGCCGCAGCTGAAACTGCGGCTGCGGCAGCCAGGCGGACAGCCACGCCTCTGCGGCGCCCGGCCGGAAGTGCTCCTGTGCGCCTCTTCCCCGCCACGCCTGTGTCCGTTTAGGCCCCGCGCGCAGCAGGAAGGGGAACTCTTTTGCCGCGGACTCAAACCGGAAACTGTTTTCCGAGCGGAGTCGCCGGTTGGGCAGAAGCGTTCGGAGGGGAACGTGAGTTGAACGTTATAACTCGGTGGTGTGTGGAGCTTAAATTTAGATGAGATACAGGTTGGAGGAGCAGGTTATTGTTGAAAGTAGGACAATGAAGGCAGTTATCTGGGGACAAGTTAAGTTGTAAGAACTACTCCAGGATTTAGTATATATGACAAAGTAAATTATATTTGAAAAAAGTCCTGGAGAGCTTACCTATGGTAATTTTTTTTTAATGAATTTTCTTTTGAGAGATTCTGTTTGTTCAAGATTTCAACCACCAACCTACCTGGTTTTCCCATTGAAATATTGGGTGGAGGGATCTGGAGAGCAGATTTGAAGGCTCCTCATGTTTTACTCATAATAAATAGAGAAGAACCACCCGAAAGTTTTCTAAATTCCGTTAGGCAGATGGAAGTTTTCATCAAAAACAATTTATTCAAGGTACATAGCCTTCCAGGTGTTTCTCCACCACAGAATGATACAAGGTACACTATGTATATTCCACATAGAGCAAGGCATAAAATTAGCACCAAGTAATAGTTTTAATTTACTATGTGTTAGGTGTTAAGCTTTCCACATGCAGTATCTCATTTAATTCTTAAATAAAGTTTTGGACGCAGATCTGCAGGTGCAAAGCCCATGCTTTTAACCACTCTGGAACCGTAAAAATTTGACTTTCCTGCATAGTTCCCTTTTGTAAGTGGATTATATTCTATTTAATTTTTTTGGTGGGCAGCCTGTATGGGAATCCAGACTCTTGACCTTGGTGTTAGAACACTGTGCTCTAACCAACTGAGCTAACTGGCCAGCCCTGAAAGTAGTTTGTAAATAGAACCAGCCAAAGGTAGTAAGTTGGTGGTGACTGTGAGGAGCCTAAGGAGAAAAAGTTAGCATTCGTAGTTCTCAATGGAGTGATTTTGCCTCCAAGGGGACATTTGACAATGTCTGGAGACATTTTTGGCTGTCACATCCAGTGGTAAATGTCAGTAATGCTGCTAAACATCTTACAATGCATGGGACAACTCCTACAAAGAGTAATTTGGTCCAAAATATCTGTAGTGCTGTAGTCGAAAAGCTCTGTCTTATGGTTATTTCTTCAGGAATAGGAAATTGAGATTCACTGATACTGAGTTTTTTAAAAAGCATTTTTATTTTGAAATTATTCCTTGATTGAAAGGTTTGTGAAGTTTATACAGTTAGAGCAGCATAGCATACAGTAGTCGCTCTTTATCTTCAGGGAATACATTCCAAGACGTCCACTGGATTCCTGAAATCACAGGTAGTTCTGAACACTATATCTACTGTGTTTTTTCCTATACATACCTATGATAAAGTTTAATTTATAAATTAGGCACAGTAGGAGATTAACAACAATAACTAATGAAATAGAACAATTGTAACAATATATTGTTATAAAAGTTACATGAATGTGGTGTGTGTGTCTCTCTCTCAGAATATCTTATTGTACTGTATTCACCTATTTTCATACTGTGGTTGACCTCGAGCAACTAACTGAACCTGAGGAAAATAAAACCACGGATAAGGGGGACTACTGAAACCAGTTTTTGAAGTGAATGTGTCAGCCATTGATTTTGAGGAGATGGTTGTTGAAGAATCATGGATATAAGACTTGGGAAAGATTTATACTTGAAATTATTTTACAACATCTCTGCTAAGTGGTAGTTCACCTCTGCTTAAAGATCTCCTCTATCTGGTTTTCCTATGTTTTATATCCATCTTTAAACTGCTCTTTATTTTTTCCTTATACTGAGCTTCAGTCACAGTTTTGACTCTACTAAATGTGGTTCTAATCCATGGGACTACACTCACAACAAGCTTGTCACATATATGATTTTGTAGTATGACACTGTTTATATTTTTGTTCTGGTGCAGATCACTTACAGATAATTTAAAACAGTAATTTGTTGGCAGCTTTTAAAAAGTAGCATTATTCTCAACTCGTAAAGTATTCTTGGTGGTTGAAAACAACAGGAATGTTTGTGATATGTGGGTTCATCGGTTATTTTGTCCCTATCAAGTAATGGCATAATGGATCTGGGGTTTTTAATTTTTATTTATTTATTTTTGAATAGTATTTTTTTTAATTGAGACATAATGGATTATACATATTTGTGGGGTATAGAGTTGACTATCGGTATTTGTGAATCTGGGTTTTTTTTAAAAGTACTTTCTCAGTATAATACTGACATTAATTTCAAATTGTGCATAGACTCTAGAAACTTAGGTTTTAAAACTCTGGTCAATATAGTTTGCTTTAAATAGTAGCTACTTCTCCTGCAAGTTTTGTTTAATTTGCTTACAAATGAGTATGCTATAAAAACTGGTCTTATTGGTACTCTCTGCCCTCTCTCCACAAATTTGCTAGATTTATAAATTAGGTATTGTTTTCACTTCAGGATCACAATTTTAGAATATGTTTATCCTAAGACATAGAGCCCTCAGAATATACTTAATATATATACATCTTATAAAGTAGCATAGATTTTTTTTTAAAGAGGATTTTTATTTAATTGTCTATTGACTTTTTTTTTCCAGGGTTCATTGAAAAATCCTTAGTGATATTGACATGTTTCAAGTGACATTAATTAGCCAATGACTCGGAATGATGGATTCCCCGAAGATTGGAAATGGTTTGCCAGTGATTGGACCAGGGACTGATATAGGGATATCTTCACTCCACGTGGTGGGGTATTTGGGAAAAGTTAGTGAACTTATTTTTTGCCTCAGTGCAAAGTTTTTTTTTTTTTCCCCCTCCTATTTTTGAGACTTGAATTTGGGTTTAATTTTACCAATTAACTTCTAAAAAAAAAACTGTATCTTCCACGGAAATCTTACAGCAATGGCGAAAGATTATTTTAATGTGTTTACCTCTCTGTGTTTTATTGATATGTGAAAGTAGAAATAAAACATAGACCTTATGGTTTACTATTCTTTGAAAATATGAAACATGCATTTTCCCTGGCAGTTGATGTTACTTTTTTTCTTGCAAATAAAATTGATGCTTTTCTTAACACTTAAAATTTAATCTTTAAAACTATAACATATTCTTTTTGGAATAAAAGCTGTATTTAAAGCCTTATGCATTTCTTTTATTTGCCATGTTTAAAATATCTTGCCAGGATACTTCTAGTTCAAAATTGTAACTTTTCTGGTTACCTTTCCATTTAACTTTTGATAATTTGATTTAATCTAGGAATGTCTATATTTTAATTTGCTTTATTTCTCTTATAGAATTATGATTCAGCTAAAGTTACATCAGACGGTTATTGCCCTACTTGTAGAAAGAAGGGAAAGTTAAAGGCCCTAAAGACTTACCGAATTAGTTTTCAAGAATCTGTCTTTTTGTGTGAGGATCTGCAGGTAAAGTATTAATCTTATGTAGGTTTTAGCTTTTTGCTTTTTTTTCATTCTTTAAGTTTTTACTCATTTTGTATTTTTAGACTGTAGATTTTTAATCCACAGACAATCTGAATTTCTTAATCTGTCTGGTGTACAATTTTAAATAGTTTGTTATTTTTTTCACCTGAATTACTGACTTATTCCCTAACAATGTTTTTTATTACCATTTGAGTTGTAAGAGGAAAAAATACTTTTCAAGACTGAGGGTTTTTTTTTTTTTTTAGCCTTATGGGAGTCCTTGTTAGCTAACAGCATGTAGTAGTTACTCTTTCATCTCTTTGGTTTGTTAACTTTGGGACTGATTAGAAAAGTTATTAATCTCTAATGTACCTGGAAAAGTATTTTGGAAATTGCTTAGTCTGAAAACAAGTATATGCTCTGAGCTAAGTAGTATGCCCTTACAGCTATAAAAAGCTGTAAATCTTTTAGAATTAATTACAGTAATTTGTACTCACTGCTACTACTTTTATATAGGAGCTCATTAAATTCTGTAAAATAAAGTGTATTTTATTGTACTTGACAATTTATGAAACTGTTTTATACACATTTAATACTAAAAATCTTTGCAGGATAGGAATTCCCATTTTATGGATAAGAAGACAGATTCAGAGAGTTTAGGAACACAGCATCGTCAAAGAGTGGCAAAAATGTAATTGCAGTTCAGTCTTTTAATTTCAGATCTGTTTATTCTAGCTAAACTAGCGGTTCATCAGAATCACCTGGAGTGATTAAAAGTTCTATGTCTCATCTACATATGCTGATTCAGTAGAGTTGGCCCAGAATTCTGTGGTTTTGTAGCTTTTGAGGATGAGTCTGATAATCAGCCATGTTTGGAAAATACTAAACTAAACCACATAGTTGGTGATAGGTACTCTTCCTGGGTATAATTTGAAGAGAAGCAATCTCAGGCATGTTTACAAATCGAAATATATTTCTTTATGTATTTCTTCAATAAATAGTTTTATGAGTGTCACTGTGTTGGCACTGTACCAGATACAATGCTGGGGTACAGTATTGAATAAAACATAAATTTCTTGCTCTTAAAGAAGGTTATATTCTAGAGTGGGAAAGACAAACAAGTAAAGTATATTTTTTTATGTCAGGTGATGAAAAGTGCTGTTGAGAACAGCAAAGCAATGAGGACTGGAGTGCCAAGGGAGGGGGAGTTTGCAGTTTTAAATAGAGTGGTGAGGGGAGTGCTTCATTGAGAAAGTGAAATTTGAGCAAATGCCTGAAAGCGATGAGGAATGAGGCTTCTAGCAGGGAGAGAAGCAAGTACAGGAAGTCCCTGAGAGAGTGGAGGCTCCCTTTCATGTTTGTGCTACTTCACTGAAACCAGCAGAGCTGGGTTTGATTAAGTGAGAGTCAGAGTAATAGAAGATGGGTCAGAAAAATAATAGGGGGACTAGACCACGTAAGGTCTTATAAGCCATTGTAAGGTCTTTGGCTTTTACTCTGAGTGAAATGAGGAGCCACAGTAGGGATATTGGCAGAGGAGTGACAATCTAACTAATGAGTTAAGAGGACCACTGTGACTGCTGTATTGAAAATATATGTAATGGGCGAGACTTGAGGCAGGGAGACTAGTTGTAGTATAGTATGAAACATGTTTGGTCTTTGTCCCCAGGTCCTCTCACAGCTCTAAACGCTTGGAATTTCCTGAATGATAGGAGTGTCTCTTGTTATTCATAATGAGCTGAGCCTCTTTGATAACACTTGAGTTTATGTCAATGAGTGACTTAGGGTAGAGCCCCTTGATCTCCTTAGGATAGGCTACTCACCAGAAAGACCAAGTGATTAGAGGGTTGGAACGTTCAGCCCTCACCACCAACCTCCAGAAAAGGGGGGCTGGAGATTAAGCTCAATAAAAACATGAACAACGAAGATTTGATGAGCTTCTGAGTTGCTGGGAAGGTGGTGCACCCAGAGTGCATGGAAGCTCTGCAGCCCCTTCCCCATACCTTGCCCTATTCATCTCTTCATCTGTATCCTTTATGATATCCTTTAGAATAAACCAGTAACGTATGTTAGTATTTCCTTGAGTTCTGTGAGCTATCCTAGCATTTTAATAGGACCCAAAGAAGGGGTCATGGGAACCACAGTTTATAGCCAGTTGATCAGAAGTATGGGTGGCACAGACTTGTGATTGGCATCTGAAGTAGTGGCAGTCTTGTGGGGTTGAGCCCTCAATGTGTAGAATCTGATAGAATCTCTAGGTGTAGATAGCATCAGAATTGAATTAAATTATAAGATTGTTTATTTTGGAGCATTTCATTATTCAGTCTTTTTTTAATTAAAAAAACATGAAACATAATAAAGAGGTTTTTTTTTTTAAATTTTTTAATTTTTTTGGCAGCTGGACAGTACTGGGATCGAACCCTGGACCTTGGTGTTATCAGCACCATTCTCTAACTTAAAGAGATTTTTAAATTATTAGTGTTAAGTCATCAAAGAAAACACTTTTTTTCTTGGTTTTCTTCATTTGTAAAGTGAGTGTAAGTTATTTTTATCATTTGTCTTTGGCTGTACTTTAAACACAGTTACCCATATATAAGATGACATGGTATATTTGCATACCATGCAAAGCATGAAAGCATTAATTTATAAAAGGGAGAAATCAGGGCAAGGACAGATTATATTTTAGATTGGCCCTATGATGGGAGCAGAGTTTACAGAATAGAAAAAAGTCAGTGAAGGAAAAAATGGAGGGGAGGGGGAGCTGGCCGGTTAGCTCAGTTGATTAGAGCACGGTGTTATAACACTAAGGTCAAGGGTTCAGATCCCCATACTGGCCAGCTGCCAAAAAAAGAAAAAGTCAGTGAAGACATTTGGAAAGAATGGAGGGAGGCCCGCATCCAGGCCACTAAGTTTTGCAGCCCCAAGGCCCCTTACAGTTTATTATTACTGTTTTTAATTAAGTAGGGGTATAGGTAGGATATGTATAGCATGATCTTGACTGAGATTGGTGAAGGGTTTTGTTGTTGTTTTGGGGTCCTTTTTTTGCCTCTAAAATTTTTTTGTTTAAATTTTTACATAGTGATTAAAAAACATAAAATATATCGTCTTAATCATTTGTAAGTGTACAGTTCAGAAGTGTTAGATATATTCACATTATTGTGCAACAGATCTCTAGAACTTTTTTTAATCTTGCAAAACTGATACTCTGTACCCAGTAAACAGGTACTCCCTGTTTCCCTCTCCCCCAACCCTTGGCAACCACCATTTTACTGTCTGTTTGTATGAATCTGGTATCTCATATAAATGGAATCATACATTGTCTTTTTGTGACTGCCTTATTACACTTAGCATTATGTCCTCAAGATTCATCCATGTTGTAGCATGTGACAGAATTTCTTTCCTTTTTAAGGCTGAATTAATACTCCATTGTATGTATATACCAGATTTTGCTTATCCATTCATCTGTCCAGGAACATTTGGATTGCTTCCACCTTTGGGCTATTGTAGATAATGCTGCAGAGAAAATGGGTGTACAGGTTTCTCTTTGAGATCCTGCTTTCAGTTTCTTTGGATATATACATTTTTATGCCTCTTTGAATACTCAATTATTGCTACTGATTTTAACACAGTTTTGGTTTTCTGACATATGGTAGGATTTAGGAAATAATCTCAGGGTCTGAAGTTGATGGTCCGGTTATTAGTTGATGGTGACTGTGCAGCAGTAAGAGTCAGAAGAATCCAGAACTTGTCCATTTATAGTAAAGAATTTCATAATAAGTGCAGTATTATGAGTGTAGTGTTCACATATGTAGAAGAAACTGTATGAGGTGATTTAGTACATTTCAGTTATCTATTGCCGTGAAATGAATCATGTCAAAACTTAGTGGCTTAAAAAATTGAATGGCTTCATATATTATTTATCATGATTATGTGGGTTTACCAGGCAATTCTTATACTGCACACAGTGTCAGCTGGGACAACTGAAATGTCTGTATGGCTGGCAATTGGTGCTAGCTACTGGCTGAGATCTCAGGTCAGTTTAGGCAGTCAGCCAGGGGTCTCAGTTCTTTTCCGTGAAAGTCTCTCCATGAGGTCAGTTGGTCTCTTCATAGTATGATGGCTGGAACTAAAGAGTGTTCCAGAGGAAGTTCTTCAAGAGGACAAGCTCAGTAACCTGGTGCTTATCAGGCCTCCATGGACATCATGTGTACTAATGTCTCATCAAAGCTGGTGACATGGCTAAACCCAGTCTACCATGTAAAAGTCATGAATTACCAAGAGGTGTAGTTCTTTAGTTCATTGGAGGCCATCAAAGTAGCAGTGTACCATACTTGTGTAGAAAAAGGCATATTTTAAATGAGGGCATTTAGTGTATATGTTTCCTGAATTTGTCCTGTAAAATATTTTGGAAGTTTTCAAACTTAGGAAAAATTTCACTGATTATTTTGGTGATTTGCTTACATTTTTGATATTTGACTGAAATTGTGTTAATGCACAGTAAGATTTGATTAGATCATTATTCAGCCAATTTGACTCTAGACCCAATATGGATGTAAAATAGCAGTGTTCTCAGATTCATATTCAGTTTCAAAATAAAGGAAACATAGAAATTACTTGATGTAATTTTTCTTATTTGAAAATACTTTTCTAATTTTAATGTTTGAAAATGCTTTTCTAAACTTAATGTTATGCTAAAGAATTACATCATAGAGTGTGTCTTTACGTCATTGTAATTTTTTAAATTCACTTGACATTAGATTTTTATTAAAGCAAAAATCATGTTTTTTCTTGTTAGCTTACCCTAATGTAACTCAGATTAAATCCTTGATTAGAAAACCCTAGGAAGAGTTGTTATTTTGGGGACCAGATTTTTGACTGCCTCTAGTTGTTTGTCTCTACTCTTCAAATTTAGGTTGATAAATGTACTCTCTCATGTCAAATTAATGCTGAAATTTCATACATATTTTTTGTGACATAGAAACTGTAAAGTCAAACTAGAGTGTATTTGAATTTTTGTGGTTTTTATCACTTTATTTTTTTCCTTCTAGTGCATCTATCCTTTGGGTTCTAAACCACTTAACTTAATTTCTCCTGATTCAGAAGATTGTCACACTCCAATTAAGCCTCAAAAAAGAAAGATCTTGGAAAGCAGATGTAAAGATTCACTTCTTTTAGCAAATTCCAAAAAAGCTAGAAGACATATTGTTATTGATGCTGAACAAATTTTGAACAGCAAACATAATGGAAAAGTATTTGATGAAACCTCATCAAACTTACCTGATAGTAGTCAACAGAATCCGATTAGGACAGTTGATTCCTTGGAGCAGAATGGGATTTTGGAAGCTGATATTGTTGACATGACTACTGGAGAAGATCCTATTATTGTTGATGACTCTGGAACTGAGGGCACTCCCCCTCAAAATGAAGGATGCACATCTGAACTAGAAATGCCATTGGAGAGCAAATATGCATCATTTCACCAGAGTTTATGTGTCCAGTGGAAAAATGCTTATGCTCTCTGTTGGTTAGACTGTATCCTGTCAGCTTTGGTGCACTTGGAAGGGTTAAAGAACACTGTGACTGAACTTTGCTCTAAGGAGGAATCTATATTCTGGCAGTTGTTTACAAAATACAATCAAGCAAATAAGCTTCTGAATGCCAGTCAATTGAATGGACTTATAGGTGGGTACTAATATTTTATTTCTCTTTAAGATGTTAATGCTGAATTTTGTCTCCCAGCTTGTGGAAAAGATGCCATCAGTAGCTTCTCTTTTATGTAAAGACCTGGGAGCAAGGGACCCAGGAAAGAATTATGAAGCTTGAGATAACACCAGTTTCATTATTATGGCTGCCTAAAGGCATTCTTTTTAAAAAACTAATAGTAAAGGAAAAGGAGGATGTGGTGTGTCTTAGCTTGTCAGGGTAATAGTGGTCATCATAGTGTCCATCAAAGCAAAATTTACATTTTTAAACTAGTGCAAAGCAGAATGAAGAAGTAAGTAGAAATCACCTATGATCCAACAACCCCCCAAAATCTTCACAATGAGGGTTATATATTTTATTTCATTTTCTACAAAATAGGATACCCATGAGCCAACCTCTCAACCCAAGAAGAATTAAAACATTCCCAGTAACTTACATCTACTGTGTGTTCCTCCCACCCATATCCTGTCTACCCCCAAAGATAATCATTATCTGGAAATGTGTTTTATTATTTCTTAGTTTGTTTTGAACTTTGTAAACAGGGCATTGTATAGTATGTTGTCTGGGACTCTTTTTTTTTTTTTTCTTTTTGTCAAGATTTATCTATGAAGGTGCTTATAGTTGTGGTTCATTGATTTTCACTGCTATGTAATATTTCCATTTTATAAATATATCAGTGTATTTACTCATCTACCTGTCTGTGGACAGTTGAGTTATTTTTTACCATTATAGATACTGCTGCTATGATTTTTCTTGGGCAGACCATCTTAGGCACAGTACAAGAGTTTCCTTTGGCAATACCAAAGGAATGGAATTGCAAAATCATAGGCTCTGAGTCCAGATACTCAAGATATAATGGCAGTTGTTTTCAGAAGTTCTTGTGTCAGTCATTACTCCTGTTAGCAATGTATAAGAGGTCTTCCTGATCATATATTCTCCCTCTCTTATTTTCACACTTTGAGATTTTTGCAATATGACTGATGTAAAACGGTCTGTGGTGTTGATTTGCCTTTCCCAGATTTTAAAGTGGTTGATTGTCTCTTTATGTGTAAACTGACCATGTATGTGATTTCTTCTGTGAAATGTCTCTTTATGTTTTACCCTTATTTGTTCTATTGATTGTCATGTTCTCACTGATTTGTATGAGTTTCTGTAGATCCTTGTTGCTATTTTTATGTCAGGTAAGTGTTGCTGAAATCTTCTCCTGATTCATAGCGTGTGTTTTTACTTTTTTTTTTGAAAGATGACCACTAAGGGAATCTTAACCCTTGACTTGGTGTTGTCAGCACCACACTCTCCCAGTGAGCCACGGGCCGGCCCTTACTTTTTAATTTAATTGAATTTACAAGAAAGTCTTTAAAGCTAAAGACCTTTTTGTTTTTCCTTTTGGATTTTGTAACATTTGTGGCTTTTTTTTTTTTTTTTTAAGGTGACTGGTAAGGGGATCTTAACCCTTGACTTGGTGTTGTCAGCACCACACTCTCCCAAGTGAGCCTTGGGCTGGTTCGTGGCTTTTTAAAGAAAACCTTCCTTTTCCTGAGAACAGAAAGTCATTTATATTCCCTGAAAAATTATAAAGTTTTGCCTTTTATATTATGATTCTTAATTCATGTGGACTTAGTATTGGTATATGGTGTGAGATAAGGATTCATTTTTATTTTCTATTTGCAAAAGCAGTTTTTCTAGCTCTTCTTTTGTTCTCGGTTGATCTGCCATGCCACCTTTTTCATATATCAACATTCTATATATGTGTGCAGTTGTTCCTTAAATCTCAGTTTTGTTCTCTTGGTCATTTTTGTCTATCCCAGCACTCACAATAATTATTATTATGTTTTTAAGTCTTTCTGGTAGGGCAATAATCCTCATCTTTATTCAACTTCTTTTGAAATGTCTTGGTATATTTTTTTCTTCATCTTGTACATTTTTTTTTAAACTCGATATAATACTTCACTTGACATTGTAAGTATTACTCATTAATGTACTAAAAAGAATGACATTGTTCATGCAATCTTTTATGTGGATTCTGTGCATTGCTTCCCCATTGTTGACTATTCAGGCTGCTTACCTTTTTTTTGCTATTATGAATTAACACCATGACAAATATCCATATATCTTTTGAATCTATTGCTCATTAATATCCTAGGAGAGGTATTAATATATGAATATTAAAGGTCTTGCTCAATGGCTTTCCAGAAGGCTTGTACCAAAATGTAATTCTCAGAGTGCTCTATCACTTTTGGGTATAAACATTTAGAAAGTTATGATTTTGTTAGGTAAGAAATATTTTGTTTCAATTTAAGTTTCTTTAAGAGAATTTTTTTCATGTGTCCTTTGTGATTTTTTGCAGTTTAAAATTTCAGTTTCTCACAAGCATTTTTGCCTTTGATTTTTCTTCACTCAATTTCTGTTTTCTATAATTATAGGAACCCCAGTGCTGAGTAGATGACAGTTGTTCAGTTGATTGTTGCAGAAGAGCAACAACTGCATATTGGAATTAATTTTAATTTTATACTTTTATCTTTTATTTTATTTTATTTTTTTACATAATTGTAGTTTTTATAATCTGGTTGTTAATTACATTTGTTCAAGCTGCATTACTTTGCGTTGTAGGTTTTCCTTTTTGGTATTTCAAATAAAAATTCTGGTTAACATTTACTTTATACTACAGGAAAATCCAAATATTTCATTAGTGAAACATATAAACAGAGCATGATCAGGCTGTATGCATTATAAGAGGTTTGAGTAAAAAGATCCATTTGTAGCTTAAGAGCAACTAGGGCCAGCATATGGAGGCTTCTGTTCAAACTGATTTTCTTATTAATCTTGGATAGTTTCTTATCACGGTATTCCATTTTGAGGACTTATATCCTAAAGAATTGATCAAATGCATGGACAGAGATGTGCCAGCATATGGAGGCTTCTGTTCAAACTGATTTTCTTATTAATCTTGGATAGTTTCTTATCACAGTATTCCATTTTGAGGACTTATATCCTAAAGAATTGATCAAATGCATGGACAGAGATGTGCCCAATGATGCTTATCACTATAATATTTATAATAATGAAAAAAGAAACAAATGTCCAGCAGTGGGGGAATGATGAGTAAAACTGTCAGTCCCAGTGTAATAACTAGCACACAAAATCTCTAATGAAACAAATTTGTGTGAACAAAGCAGAATGGTGGAAAAACACTACGATGCTACTGAAGGACTCCTTCACACCCCTCAAAAAAAGACATCAAAGGAGAGAAATATATCGAATATCAGTTTGGGAAATAATCATAACTTTGAGACTCTGTGACCTTGCTAAGTTTAATAAAAGTTATACAAAATGTAATAAGTGATTAGATGCTTCTAGCATAAGTAATTGCACATAGAAAGATAGCTTCAGCTGTTGCAAAGATAGGCAGAGTAACCGAAAATTTAGCTGTTTTATTAGGCCTGTGAATATTTGGGTGAGAGAAGCTATCACTGGCATTTTACCCAGGCAGTAAACATAAATGATAATTGTGTTGATTTTACTCAGAGATTTTACCCAGGCAGTAAGTACTAATATTATTGTGCTGCTAACAATATTAAGGGAATATATGCTATACCACAGAGGAGTAAGAAATGGAAATTTTGTGTTTTGGTTTTTGTCTGTCATTGCAAAACTTATTGACTCTGATAAAGTTTTATTCTTGTTAATGGTCTAAATTTTCTGTGGAAAAATACACATTGATGAGAAATTGATAATGTTCTATATATTTTTTTAGATGGAGATTGTAAAAAACTTTCTTCAGAAATATTTGCAGAGATAGAGACCTGTCTGAATGAAGTCAGAGATGAAATTTTTATTAAACTCCAGCCCCAGCTTAGATGCACATTAGGTAAGTACTTGGTGTAACTTAACTGTTGTAGTACTCTCCTACCATATACAAATATGTACATCATAAGGAAATATAATATTTTATTACTTTGGATGATCAGATTCTTGGGAGAGAGAATCTGGGTAGGTTGACTTAGAGTCTGCCATTGGGTAAAACCATTGTTGGGCAGAGCGTTCCATATAAATATGCAGGCTCTTGTCCCACCTCTTGAGTACAGTTCTCAGAAACAGATAAATACTTATGGGGTACACCACTGGTTTCTTCTTCAGTGGTTTCCCCTCGCAGACTAATCAAGCATTTTCAATCCTGAATATGCATTAAAAAGCACCTAGGGGGCCGGCCCGGTGGCGCACTGCTACAGTGCGCCGCTTGGGAGCGCGGTGGTGCTCCCACTGAGGGTTCAGATCCCACGTACAGATCCAGTGCGCCGCTTGGGAGCGCGGTGGCGCTCCCACTGAGGGTTCGGATCCCACATACAGATCGGCCGCTCACTGGCTGAGCGATGTGCGGGCGCAACACCGAGGGTTGCGATCCCGTTGCCGGTCTTGGTCCAGTACGGGCGCGACACTGAGGGTTGCGATCCGTTGCCGGACACGAAAAAAGACAAAAAGGAAAAAAAAAAAAAAAAAAAAGCACCTAGGGAATTTCAAAGTAAATACCAGTGCT